GGGGTTAGAAAGCAAAGATCCAGGACTGGGAGAGCAGGTGGGTGGAAAAGTGAGATATTCCACTGCTTTTAGCAATAGTCATTTTTGGGGGGGTTGTGGCACAAGCAGAGCCGCGGCCCCAATAAAACGGGGCGAAATCACCCAAGCCCCCACTTTTACCCCTCCAAAAAGCATCATTTTGGCTCCATCCTGCCCGAATGCAACATGATTTTAGCCTGGTTAAACTTCTCCCCCTTCTTCGGCCGCGGGTCGGAGGAGGCTCTGGGAAGGAACTATCATCCCAAAGCAGGAGGATGTGGGAGTGCCACGTCCTTTAGCAGCAGGGCCTGGGTTAGTGCTGGAATTGTCTTCTTCATGGTTTGGTTTTTTTATATTTCTTGGAGGAAATGTTTAAATAAAGGCTGTCATTGTGTACACCCCCCGCTCCCCCCCTGCTTGTGATAGCGGAGCCAAATGGAATGCATTGAACCCAAAGGATACATGCAGGGGGATGCTTTTTCCTCCCCAAACCCAATCCGCAGCCATTAGAGGGCACCATCCTGCTGCGGACAGCACCCTCCATCTCAAAGTATTCCCTCCCCATCCAGTATTCCGTATTGTCCTATAGTATTTCATCGGCAGGATGCAAAGAGTCTGACCACACAGCTGAGCATTGACATGCATGCACGCATGGTTTTGTGCATGCATGTGGCTTTCCATGCATGTATATGTGTGTGTTTCTATACATGCATGTAGGGGGTTGTGCATGCCCCTGGCTTTAGAGCCCACAGGCGTCATTCCCTACATGTATGCATGCTGGGTTTGCATGCACAGGTGATTATTGCATGCCTGTAGTCCTGTACATACATGCAGGCGTGGTTTTATGCATGTAGGTGGGTTTGTGCACACATGCATGTGCGTTTTGGCGCATGAACATGCATCTAGTGTGCACATGCATGTGTATTTGATGCATTGACATGGTTTTGTGCACACATGCATGTGCATTTCTGTGCATGTACATGTTTCTGTACACGTGCATTTTTGTGCATCAACATGGTTTTGTGTGCACGTGTATTTCTGCACAAAAATGGTTTTGTGCACCCATGCGCATGCATTTTGGTGCCTGAACATGGTTTTGTACACATGCACGTACATTCCTGTTGCATGCATGTGCTTTTGTGCACACACACATGCGCGTCCTGTGCATACACGTGACTGGCATGCACACAGCTTTGCATGTGTGTTTTGGGACATACCCATATGGATGTTGCACCTGCAGCACCGCAGCAGCACCCAGAGCAGCACAGCCCCACTCACCACGTTTCATCTCCCCCTTTAACCACCATCACTTCCTGGCTGCACCGGGAGCGCGATGCCCACGTGCTGCACCGCCACCAAGAGTCACCCCAGGAGCACACAACCCACCTTCCCCTTGAGGCCCCGCTGCAAACCCTGCACCAGCAAGAGGAGAAACCTGCAGCCCTGCTTTATTTCGGACAGGCCGACGGCCACCACCGCTGAAGGCACTTGTGGGATGGGGACAGGGATGCGGGGAGGAGGGATGCGGGGGCTGAAGCCACCTCAAGGCACCATGTGCCACCATTTGAAGGCG